AAGGAATATCTTATCTTATTGTCTCTACAGACAGAACAACAAACTAAACACTGGCTCAAGATAGGGCCTTTAGCATTTTTTGCTAGTTTCGCAGGTAGTTTCTCCTTCACATTTGAAAGGCAAGCATTATTCAAATGGTTGCAATCTGCAACTTCACACCAGATACACAAATAATATCAAAATCTAACCATCAGATTGTCCTATGTTCCAGAGACGATGAACTGGTTTCATTTTAGACTTTTTTCTAGAGCCGGCTTTAGGTCATGAAATAAATGTAACACTCAAGAAAGCGAAGCACATTCATTTTTACAATGGGATAAACCCTTCTGATTTTACTGACCTTACTGTAGCACTACCGTTATGACACCCTACTGGCACGCCTCTACAAAAAGCAAAACTGTGGGCTTGCCGTTTGCTTCATTCAACTTCTCTACAGTATACAGCCTCTCAGGGCCATTAGCAGGGGCCTTCAGACCTTTAGCCTTATATTTCCTCAGAAGATAATTCTCACAGTGCAAAACATGAAAAATAAACTGCAAGAATAAAAAGAGGCTTTAGTGCTGAACAATGCATCTGATTTTGTAGTTGCTTCACTGACATTTTTGTCATGTCAATCAGTGTAGGCGCGAGTCTCACATCTTGCTTGGATTTTCTGATGATAAAGTTGAGTTTTGTTACTGTAGGTCGTGCTCTTTTCTTTTTCTGCTCAGCCATGGTATCCGTCTCTGCTTATGTCAAGTTGCTCAGCTCCACTGCAGTCTCTTTGTGTTATACGGCTGAGATAGAGAGAAGCAGACATCTAGTACAAAATATCTGAAAATAATTTGAAGCATTTTTTTTAAACACCCTCAGTGTTGCTTTAGGGGCTTTTGAATGGCGCTTTGATGGCTCTGATTTCATTTTCTTTCTTTTTTTCCACAGGTGAACCAACAGTTCCGGTATTTGTTGGATCATCAAAGTGGAAGAGAGTAATGCAAAGGACCTTTCTGTAAATAGAGACTTCCTTTCTTCTGGACTGCAATTAATCTTTGGAAAACTCTGAATGCTTCTTCTTGAACTCTATGGACATCAAAACGAGGAGTAGATCCTATTGAAAGTACTGATCATTCAGAGCTTCTTTTTGAAGGACTCCATGTGATTAGCCTTACAGGACAACAGGATTTATTCTCTGACATTGTACTGCTTGTAGTGGAAGACAATGGTGAACTCTGCCTATATGTTTATTTCTAGTATTTATGTCATTTACAGGGGATTTTGCATCACACGTTGACCAGGGTGAACAGCAGGTCGGTTTGCTGTAAGCATCGCAAATATTCAACACACAAAATGTGGTTCTGTTTTATCAGTCAGTTGTGGCTTTCCTCTCTAACAAAGTGTAGTGTCAAACGTTCAGCTAAAGATGAAGATATGTGGCTGAGGAGCAGATATTAAGGGTGATTTTCATAAATACAGAACCACATTCGACAATGTGTCATTTATAAACTTAACACAGTAAATAAACTTAATTCAATTTGAACTTAGCACAAACCTCCTACACGTTGTTATGTGTGTATTAAGTGTTCCATTCGACCCAGATATTGTCGAGATCTGATCAAACCTACCAGCTGTTAACAGACAAAAAGTTGGATCCAGTCGTGGTTTATTTTTCCTCTGAAAATCGCTCTGCCATTTCCTGCCGCTTCTGCCAGATTTTGTTTTTGTATCACAGTTCTGGTGTTCAGATTCTAGACAACAGCAGTGTAAATTAAACACACAGCATTTGGTCACCGGCTGGGTGATGACAATGATGTTCCCACAACTGTTTTCAACTAGTTACTCAAGTATGATTTGCTGATCACCTTTCAGTAGGTATCGCTGACACTTCCTTTGTCTGTGTAAGTGATGACATCAGTAATAAACTATGGTTGTGTAACTAACACCTTGTGTCTTTTAACCACCTGTATGCTAACAGCAGCATGGCTCTAGGGATGGCAGTCCCAGCCTGGTCCAGACTGAGATTTCTCAACGATTAATGCCATCAAATTTTGTACTTATGGTTCAGTAAGGTTGAATTCTAATGACTTTGGTGATCCCCTGACTTTATCCCTAGTTTAACTTACATTCATACATTGATGGTAGCCAGAGGAGTAACCTTCATGAAGTTGACATTTGTGTTTTTGAGTGAAATGTCAAAAAAACAAACAAACAAAAAAAAACCTAAATGTATTGCCATGAAATTTGTTACACAAATTCATGTCCCCCCCAGAATTATAAGAACTTTAGTGATCCCTAAACTTTTCATCCAGGGATTTGTACAGGGAAGTCTAAAATCTAATGTGACGATGGATAAAATGTTAAAAACACATTTCACTGTTTAAGACCACCATGGATTATGAAATGGCCGCAGAGTTGAAACAGTGTCATCTGAATCTGATTATTACAGCTTTGATAAAGGTACTGCAGGGCTGTTGTATTGGATTAGATTTAGATCTGTGTAGCAAACAGACTGGCAGGTCACTATATTAGTCTCAGTTATTACACTGACAACACTGATAATACTCATCTTGTCTCTTATAACATTTATTACTCATAAAGATACTGTAACCCTTTGTGAACAGGAATGTGAGAATTGACCAATTCATAATTCTCAGACCCAGACAGCTGCAGAAAAATGTTTGAAGTCGTCTGATGACTGAATGTGAGCTCAAGTAAGTTCAATCAGCCGCTTTCCTGTCATATCAAACTCCCCAGTAACATCAAGGGTCCTTTACAAACTCGTCACCTCAGAGGGGATGCTGAAGTTATCAAATCAACAGCCAGAGCTGGTTTTCATGACTCCTGTTATCACAGTGGGTGAAATCACACAGCGCTTCGTTCAAGTGTTTTGATGTAAATCAGCTGGCAAAATGGTCAGTTTATTTTGAAATGCACAGCCCTGCGACAGATTTATCCCCTCCTTGTAGTTTCTTGTGAAATTGTTTCCAATGATGGTGCTTTTTTTTATATCACCCTGCCTTCCACAACAAGAGTACCATCTTTTATCATACTGACCCATTCTGAGTCCAATCTTTTTTCTTTGGAAAATGAAACAATCCTATGAATAATTACTTATTTTCTGTTTGTCATTTGAGGGGAATTGGTGCAACTTGCTCTTCTTGAAAGTGTTCCACATTTACAAGTTGGTGGCTCATTACAGAAACACAACAGAACAGTGGCCTTTGGAGCAATAGGTTGTTTTCGGAATAACAGGCTGACGGTCCTATGGGACATTTTTTGGACTATTGGGGTTTTGGAATGATGGGCGGTCCCAACAATGGCATGGCACCCTGTACTGCCTGCTTTGCACCAAACAACACACTAAGTTAGTAACTAGCGTGTGGAGGATTTAGCCAAATACTTTTCTCAGGAGTTGGTGGAGACTAAAACAGAGCTAAAAGCAGAGTGAATACTGGACTTTATTCATCGGGTTACCAGAAACACAACTTCAAATGAATGCTGCTCTGTCTTTGATCAATAGGCAACTGTATTCACTGTATAAAGTGATATTGTGTCAGTTGTGTGTTTACAGCCAGTTGGCGCTGCCCGAATGGTGGAAAAATCAATAATGCAAGTTTAAATATAATTCAAGGCGTGGAGGGAGAGATGTTAGAGTCACTGAGAGTCGAGGCAGAACAGCTGGAGGACAGACAGAAAACCAGAAAACATTTTCTTCATAAAGTATGATCCAGTTCTACTAAAAATCACTGACATAGTTGGAGCTGTAGAGCACTACGGACTTCTCCCAACCCAGACACCAAAGTCACGTGGTCTCGCACCAGGTGTAGGGGGCACAGAGAGGGAATGACATTCCGCTGTTATTTAAAAGGTAGGTAGGTGACAATTTGATTTTGGAATTTTGGAACATGAAACTAATTCATGAGATAAAACAGTAGACATTTAGCCAAAATGGACTTAAGTTACTCATGATGTAAACTGAACGCTTTTTACAGTAGCTTAATTATGTTGCTTGAGAACTGGGCCAATGCCAAGTTCAGTGAAAAATAACTAAATTGAAATGACCTTGTGCAGTTTTTCTTTTAGTTTAGTGGTTTTCAAAACAATTTATAAACATAAAACAACCAAAACAGCAGTTGCAATAGCTGTAAAGAGCAAAAACCATATGGTTAATAATATTTCATATGCTTGACACTATCTCACCTACAAATTTCCTAATATTGCACATAATTCTGTTGTCTAGATGAGAGCTTCTTAAATGTTCTCAGCTGAGGACCCCAGTGAGAGATCTGCCTTGCTTGCTCTGGGAAACAGGCTTATTAAAAAATTTCATATCCTCGTCATAAAGGGACCCACCAGCAACAAGCCTCAATTTGGATCTCAACCCACAGTTCAAAGAGCGCCGCTCCAGATTACTGTTGAGGATTTTCCATGCTTTTTTGTTGCATTGCTGACACCTTTCAATTCTTAAATGCTTCTCTTTCGGGAAATTACAAGAAAACGGAGACACAACGGAGGCAATAGTGTAATCAGGAGTTTATTCAGCTGCAGATGCTTGACAGACGCAGATAAATGAGAGGGTCTGAAAAAGCCATATTGCTCTTGTTTCCACGGGTTTTTAAAATGGAACTTGGTTTTCCTTTTATAACATACCCTATGTGCTTGCTGTAGACACTGTTACTTGTCTGCGCCTGTCAAACATAGTTACACTGAATGACTCTGTTTCCCTGCTCGCTATCCTTTTCCAAACAGTGAGCCTGTGAAATGTGCCGCGCTGAGAACAGAAGACAAGTGCTGCCTGAAGCGTCTTTCTCATGTTTCACGAGGAAGCTTCCTTCAAACATCAAGCTTCATTCCTTTTTACCGAAGGCGTCCGTTGGCAAAACGACAAACATTCTCAGAGAGTCAAAATGCCGTGACACCGCCGGCCTCTGCGTTTCAAAACAGTTTGACATTTCCAGGGTCAATGCTAGACTCCCGGTCGGTAACTGAGTCAGTTCAGAGGAGTCGGAGGAGTGTCCGGGGGAGGGTTAGCTCCAAAACAGAAAAAAACCTTTCTTTCAAAGCTTTGATTTCTTTCAAGGGATTCAAATGAAGTTAAGGCAGGCATTTCTCTCTTTTCCTTCTTTTTTTTTTTTGCTGCAGTCATTACAAGAGCACATCAAAGGAATCTCCTCCTCTCACCATATGCTGTATAGTTTCATAATCTAATGAGGGTTTTGTAATTACACAGTCCACCAGGGGAATGGAGCTCATCGATTCTCTGGGAAAAGAAATTTCATTACACAGACTCACTGTAAACTGTAGATGCTATCAACAGCTCTGTACTTTAATTTCATTTAATCATTTTACATGACAAAAAGCACTCGTCAGAGTTACATGTTAGAGAGAGACTTGCAGATGTGAATGTAAATCACTCTCATATGGAGTCTTTGGAAACTTTTCAGGCCAGAGGAGAAATGTTGAAAATGTCACTTGCAGAGGTACCAACATACAGGACATTTTTCATCTGATCATGTAATTTGTTTTCCCTGTGCAACGCAGTAGTCTGTATGACATTTCAATATAAGCGTGATGTACAACTAATGAATGCTACTTTTTTTATGGATGCAACCTGCATCCAGCAATAGGAAATCCTCTGATGCAATCATCAAGGCATCAAATGACAAATGAGAGACTCGCTGTGGTGGAATTATTTATATGTTTGTGCGGGTATAATAAAGGCTATAGCCATTAGAAGTGTTGATTCACGGTAGCCGTCTCACTGCTGTGTGTGGAAATCCTTTCAAGTCAAGCCTGGGAACAGTCTGAAACTTTGCTTTGTCTCAGCTGTGAAAGCTACGTCTTCCCCACCGTGAGCAGAATGCAAACAAACAACAGCTTATCCATCCATCCACATATCCATCCATCCACGTATCCATCCGTCCACGTATCCATCCATCCACATATCCATCCATCCACATATCCATCCATCCATCCAACAATAAAAGTAAAAAAGAAAAAAAAACATTATAACTTTCATCTGTTGTATTGTGTATATCTGTTATGAAGGATCAAAAAGCAGGATGACACATTTGCCAATATATATGCAGGTGTAAGTTTCACTGCCAGTAGAAGTTCAATATTCTAGTGAGTAGAGAGAAAAATCTGATGGGCGGAGCCAAAAACCAAAGTCTCTCTTGAGTCAGTAATACCAGTCAGAAAAGGGACCTATTATGCTTTCCTTTTTTGTCTGTGATATAATGTTACAATGGATGTTCATATTAAACATGGCCAAAGTGTGTAAAAGTTCTCCCTGTGAGCAAACGCTCAGGTTTAAAACTGCTCTGAATGCAACATTTCCAACATCCTTTTCTACTTTACTCCCCAAACCAATGGGTTATGTCACAATAGGTTCACACTTGTTTTGAAGTTATGCTTCTGGTAACCTCACAAATATAAGTCCAACCCTCCTTTTTTTTCCCTGTTTTGACCTCCAACAATTTCTGATTCTTAAACTGCTAAACATTTTCTTATATTCACCAACTAGCTCCTAACTTTGTCTGTCTGCCATTTTGTGATGGGAAAGTGGGTTTATTATTATTGTTTTTTTTAGTATGAAATGGCTGTCAACTGATTCTGGAAACAAGGCTGATGAGAGCTGTGAGAGTAAACCAAAACACTAAAGTTGCGGGCCCTAAAAGAAAAGAAATGAGATGCTAAAAAGCTCAGTAGAGCTGAGGGGAACTGCAGTGTTGGGTGACAATTCTCTGTGGGTTTATCACTATAAATGACCCATTTCACATTACAGTTAGTCATTTGATCTATTGTTCAACACAAAATGATTGTTAAATGCAGCTTTAATTTATAAATTTGTATATTTCAGATTCCTGGCTGCTATTTCAATTTACCAGGCTACTGCAATGAAAAACA